CTGAGGTGTTAATGCAGATCAAATGGGAAACACTCCAGAAAGAACCCTTGCAGGCTACTGCCTTGCCTGACTCTCCCCTCTCAATCGTTAATTCTTATTGTAAGACCTAAAGGTAATTTTGTTTGCTCTCTTAATGTGTTGCCTTTCTCCCAATGGCCCTTGCATATCCTTTCTCAAATTCCCATCTTGATCAATTGTTTGAAAATAATTAAGCTTTTAAGAGATAATGGCACGAAGCTAATGTACACAACAAAAGCGAGGTATCCCTGGCCATCTATGGAACTGTGGTCAAATTTGCTTTGATATCCCAAAGTGATTAGGCTGATTGGTATATCTGGGAAATGCAATCCATCTTTCCTTCACAAGAACCTACTGATCTTTCCTAAAGTAATGAATGTCCTTGTCGTTGAGATGCAATAACCGCAAAGGTGCTTGGAAGGATGGCAAGGGGTGACTTAGGCTCTTGGCTGCAAAGACTTGGAATGGATTTTCCACTTTCTCCCTAAAATGGCACTTCTCAGGGATCACTCTTTATCTCTTTTGCACAGTGATACCTGCCTTGGCCCTTTGCATGGTCTCACTTGCTCTGTGGGCAGAAGGCAACAGGACTTTGAATGTTTCTTCTGTAGCCTTGCCTGTGGCATGTTGGGTTTTTGTCAAGTTTTTTTTTTTAAGTCTACAAAGGAATAATGCATACTGTCTTCAAAAAGCTTATCTAGTAAGGATGCATAGGATTTAAGATGTTTAAACATATTGGGTTTCAGTTTAAAAGCCTACTTCTTTGTGAATTTTTTGACTGACTAAGGATTAGCTACATAAAGTCATGGCTTTCATGTGATTCTACCAATTATAGATTTTTTTTCTTCCTGGAAATTGAAAGTTTCTAGGACAGCAAGGCCAAAAACTATGAGAAAAATAAAAATATGTAATTGACCTACCATACGCAAGGGCTTAGGAATTTTGTTGATACCTTTTCTCTCTCTTAAAAATGGCCAGATTATTGTGATATTTAATTTTGTCAAGGCTCATTCATTTCTATGCAAAAAAAATATATCCTGAACAACTGAAAATTTCTTAATGGAGACAGAGTGCTGGGTCTCCATAGCTTGAGGCTGCCTAGCAATTATGCTGCATGAAATTAGACACAGTTTGTTCCAATTACTTAAAATCAGATCACATGAAAAGTGACAGAGAAAAAAGGGTAGAACGTTCTCATTTTATGATATTTAAATTTTGAAATCGGAAACTACATTATGTAAAGAAACAGCCAAAATTTGCACTGAAATTTTGAAGGCTACATTACTGCTCTTTGAAGCTGCAGTCATCCAGGTAAGCTGCAATCATCCAGGTAATTTTAATGATTCAAAGAAAATTTTTTTGATATCACTTGCATAAATAAAGTATGAATTCCATCTGCTACATAAGAATGTAAGTAAAACTTGTTCACAAACAGGCATGCAAAAGTACTCTTGAAAACAGAGGACAAATAAATTACTGTGACAATTTTCAATTTTCAAAGTAACTAAAGATAAATGGCATAAATATTAATTTTTATCCAGTTCTGGTCATAGCATTAAGACACAGCTAACAAGACAGTACAAAAGGTGTTGCCATTCAGCTATACTGAAGAGACATTGTGTTGGCATACTTATTAATTCTATTTTAAGAAAATCACTGAAAAAGGCCAGGTGCGGTGACTCACACCCTGGAGTTCCGGCACTTTGGGAGGCCGAGGTAAGAGGCTTGCTTGAGCCCAGTAGTTTGAGACCAACCTGGGTAACACAGCAATACCTTATCTCTACCCAAAAAATAAAAAATAAAAAAGTTAGCCAGGCATAGAGGCGTGCCCCTGTAGGCCCAGCTACTAGAGAGGCTGAGATGGAAGGATCGCCTGAGCCCAGGAGGTTGAGGCTGCAGCGATCATGTCAATGCTCTTCTTGCCTGAGTGACGGAGTGAGACCCTGACTCAATATATATATACACGCATACATACTTGAAAAATGAAAGAGATGTTCATAGGACCTGGATAGCTGTAAGCGAATGTTACAGAAAATGTTGTAGAGCAGAAGCTGCTTGTATATATCCACCTATGACTTTATATGTCAAATTGTGACAACGGTTGGATGCTAAAAATTTACATATTTCAAAATTGAGCTTATATTCTGACTGGGTAATACTGTAAGAACTGCTAGCCTGGGTAATCTTTAAACTCAATGGATCTTAGAACTGTATATGACAAAATGGGGGACGAGAAGAGTCCCTGGTTCCAAGTCCCATAGTTAATGAGTGGCAGTATAATTTATACGGTCAAATAGGGTCATGCATCTCATGTAGAATGCTTTAACTGGTGTAGACCTAGGACAACTATAGATCAAACTACAATTCAGCATTATGTTCACAGAATAAGAGCCTCGTTTGGTTTGCATCATGTGCCAAACCTTTATCCAGTGGGAGTTATGTTTTAAACCTCAGGGTAATGGACTGCTTTTAGCTCAGTATCTAGTCATGAGATTTTGGCTGCAGTGACTGGCATTGTGTTGAGCAGCACTATTGTCACCTATGATCTTAGTCTATTATGAGGTTTATATTCTTTTATTTGGAGAGAGTGGGTTAACATCCATGTAAGGAATGAAGCAAAGAAAGTAGTTGTACAGAACTTAAATAGGATTGTTTATTTTTCTGCGGGCTTTGAAAAAGAATTTATTATACATTTTTATGTCGCATCTGAATGGGAAGTATCTGTGTATCATGGCAAGTTATAGCCATTCCTTTGATCCATAAGTATTTTGTGATTTCCTGTGATGTGCTATCCTGAGCTTTGAGGATGGTGAGTGAGCAAGACAAGGAGTTTAGAGTTGTTAAGTGATTGGGGAAGGACACACCAGTAAGGAAACAAAATAAAGTAAAACAGGTGTTTCAGAGAGTGATGCTTGATAGTAGGGAAATAAGAAAACGATTGATGTGCAAGCAATAGGGTAGGGTGGTAGGGAGTGTAGAGCTGGAAGTTTGAGCTGAGATCTGAAAGTGACATTGGAGCAGGAACCTGAGTGATGGGGAAAAGCTTGAGTGTTAGAACAGAAAGGAGAATGGTACGGCTGGGCTGCAGGGTGGGATGGGGTTGAGAAGAAGGCATCAACATCTGAGAGGTGCACTGGGCTGGATGGTGGTCGGCCTTACAGTCTGAAGGCTTTTGAATGGGGATATGAATGGGGATTCTGAAAGGCATTTGCCATATCCTTTGGTCATGGTAAGGCTGAGACTCTGGAAGGGAAGCAGGAAACGCCAACTGACTCATGCCTGCTGCTAACCATCCCTTCCCCTGCTCAGTCTTCTCACCTGCAAAACAGGAAGGATGATAGGCTCCATTTATGCCACTCAAAAAGATATAATGGGGGATTAATTACCTTCCTGTCTGTAATATACTTGAGCTCTTTAGAGAAAGGCACTATATTCCATGAAAGCAAAACCTTATTCTAATTGTGTACTTATTGATTAAGTGACAATCATAGGCAATGCTTGTGGGAAAAATTGCTATGTCTCTGCTCTCCACAAACGAATCCCATGTGTACTGATATAGAACATATTTAAACTTACATATAAGAGCACCAAAGTGGTCATTAACAAGCCTTTTTAGCATCTAATCAGACATTATTAATTAAATTAAAAGCTATGTTAATTAGCATTCAATAGACCAGAATTAAGTTTTGATGGCACAGATAGTTAAATTAAGGGTTGAGCGTGCCCTTTCCCATTCATAATAAAATAGAAGGTTGACTCTCAGAAGAATTTTATCTTGGCAAACTTTATTGAGATGTGGTGTTTCGAGCTGCCAATGTCTTCAGAGCTGGAAACCATGTCCTTACTTCCTCCCCCAGACTTCAGAAATATATATTTCAAATTTAGATATACTTGATTAGTGAACAAAAAGTGTTTGCGCCAAAACTAATTTCAGTTGAATTCCAAACATTCTTACAAGAAGGTATGAATTTCATTTTATTATCTAATCCTGTAATACTTTTTATCCACTCTAACACTTGAGGAATATAGCTTGTTCTTAGCATGCAAAATATGGTGGTCTTTGATCTTATATTGGCCTGTGTTCAGAATTCCAGCATGTGTTGACATTCAGATATGGAAACCAACTTTGGTTGAATTTTGTTTATTTGTGCTTTGCTGAAGAGCTAAGTTGAATAGTGTGGTTTTTTTGTTTGTTTGTTTGTTTGTTTGTTGAGTTGGAGTCTCACTCTGTCACCCAGACTGGAGTACAGTGGCTGCTCCCGGCCACCGCAGCCTCGACCTGCTGGGCTCCAGCAATCCTTCCGTCTCAGCCTTCCAAGTAGCTGGAATTACAGGCATGCGCTACCACGCCTGGTTGATTTTTTGATTTATTGTAGAGATGAGGTCTCGCTGCCCAGTTGGGTCTCGAACCTGCAGGCTCAGGCAATCCACTCACCTCAGCCTCCCAAAGGCGCGGTTTTGTTGTTGTTGTTGTTGTTTGTTTGTTTTTAAGAACACCCACTCTAATTTTGATACTTGCATCCAGCAATATGGTGTTTTGTAGGGAAAATGCCACTCCTGGGGAACTTAGCTGAGCTTGTTGGTCCAAAGTTAGGCGCAGAAGTCCATGGTTCAAAGAAAATATTACATAAGGGCTGCATATTTTAGATGGTTAAAAAATTGGCTTGTCCTTATTTTAATCCTATAAAATACAGTGAGGATCATACTAAACTTTCTGTGTTTGCAACAAATAAACCTGTTAAGGGATAAACTCAGTATCAAGGTTTTGCAAGTATCCTAAGTAGCTATTTATACACTTCACTAATCTTTGTAATTGGCTTGTCTTTTACTGCCATTAATTAGATGATGTAGTATTCCATTAATAAGAGTGACACACCTCAGCATTTTTACCTTTAATTACAGACTTCACTAGACACTTAGACTATTGACAAAATGGCCTAAATACTACCTGGTGCACACGTATCTTTTTTGTTCTCTTTCAGCATCCTTACCCTTCTGAAGAACAGAAAAAGCAGTTGGCACAAGACACGGGACTCACCATCCTTCAAGTGAACAATTGGTAAGTAATTCGGCTTTGTGTTTACACACAATCTGTTTTCCCCTCTGGCAACCTGCAGTGAATGTTTTGCATGAAGAAGACACACCCAGTTGTTGCTGTTTTCCCTGATGGCTTGTTGATCCAAAGGTGAAAACAAACTGTTGACTGATATGTGAGAACCCTTGCTAGTAGGAAAAGTAAAACATTGTGTTGCCTTCTGCCTCTTTTATAAATGGACAGATTTGATGCATTGTATAAATGTGTGTGCTTAATTCACATTCATTACGGCTCTGTAAGTATATCTCTATGGTTTTTCTTCTCCCCTTTAGGGTACTCGAGATAGTGGTATCATCCTATTTTCTACAAAACAAGAAAATCCACCATCACTTATCAGTCAGGTTTTAAATTCATTGAATAACTAAATTCAGTTAGATTTTGTTAGGGTTATGCATTCAAGGGTATTCTTCCTTTTCCTTTTATCTCCCAAATACTGAAAGGGAGAAATTATTTATGTTTCTACTTTGAAGCTATCCAAACCTGGTGTATCTCAGGGCTGTGCAATGTTGTTTTCAAATAAAGTGTAAATTTCTGATTTGGGGCAAAGCTGAGATTATGTACCAAGTACCAGTCATCAATATTCTGACTTAATGTACAGCAGTGTGGCAACGAGGCTTTGAGAAAGTATGATTTATTACCCTTTGTGAATGTGCTGAAAGCCAGGTTTCATATAATCACCCAGGGCTAGTGTCATATTTGAAGGGTATCGAAATCCAATATCCTCTAAAACTAAGTGTATCTAGTTAATTGTCCTAATATTTTCAGATTAGTGTTTATGATGGGGGAAACCTTATCCTCTTTGAAGTAAAATCCAGAAAAGGCCCAAAGCCTGGCTGGGGGAAGGGGAGAACTGGGAATGCCAGTTTGTAGACAGAAGTATTTTTTTCTGTTCAATAAGTGTCAAAGATTAATATTACAGAATCTCTGATTACATGGCCTAATCCATTTTGGTGAATACATTTGTTCTTGATGTCTATTGCACCAACATTAACAGACCCTTCTCTGTTAGAGAGCCTGGGAGCCTTTGGGAGAGATTTCAGATATATTAAACCCCATTACAGAAAATGTAATTTCTGTCAATATAATCCCGTGTATTCTTCAATTTAGTATTTTAGAGATAACAAGCTACTTACAATATATTTGCCTTTGGAGGATTAATTTACAAAGTACACTATCTGTAAGACACAGACAGACTCACATAAGCATTGCTTGTAAGGGCTATCAATTTCTATGACCTTACTGCAGCCTTGAGAGATCAATTTTTGCAGCCCTTTTAGTCAGTGGATGGTGAACCAACCAAAGACTTACTATATCGAAATGTGTTATGAGGAGTTGGGTGGCTTCCGAGGATTTTGTTTGCCTGTTTTTACCTGCTATTTTATCTTAATTTTCAAGACTATTAATGCTACCTATTTGAATATGTTCTTTTAAAAGTTTCTGGACAGCGTTCGAATGGAGAACATCAATTTTGTATGCACACCTAAATGTATATACCGTACATATATTTTTAAGCTTAAACTGATGGGGTGGCAGTTTTAATAGAATGGAGTCTGCACAAATGTCACATTTCCCTGGGAAAGGTTCCTGTTTGAGGGCAAAGGAGTGGCAGGGCAAGCTCTCTAATTAAGGAGCAAAAAAGCACTTCCATACAGGTGATCTAATATACATGCCTATGCTCTTCCTCCTCAGTGCTGCTAGCAGACTCCACTTAGAAACACAGTTACCAGAGAACAAATTCCAATACAAGTTGCTTTCTATGAGTGGTCAACCTTATGGGATATTTCCTGTGAATACAGGCACAAGAAGACATTCTTGTGACTTCAGGCAATATAAATACACACGCGCACACACATATTTTCCTAGATTCTATACACAATCTGTACTGGAGAGCAACAGTTCTTAATCAATCAGCAATCACAATTCAGCTTCCTCAGTTTTGTAATTCGAAGGGAGAAAGGGTATGTGTCTTCCTTTTGAATTTAAAAAAGTTATTGCTCATATTGTAAAATAATTTTTCAAAGTATATGCAGACTTCATCCTAAACTTCACACTGCTGTTCAATTCTGCATGGGTATATAACTTAAGAACCACTTGTACATAGTTATTTGGGATGTAAACACAATTCTGTGCTTAACTGACTCTATGTGCAGTGTGTGTGTTCCTTCTACTTGTACTGAATATAGAGTTGGAAGTGACTTTTGCATACACATCAATGATTTGCATTTGGCAATTATTTTAATTCTTAATTTTGTTTGCTGTAGAAAATGCCCCTTGAGAAACTAAAAAAGAAAGATCGCCTTTCTTCAGTATGATAAATCAATTCTTCTGTTATATCCGCAGTGCAAATGTATTAATATGGCATCCCTCTTTTGACTTGAGTTTTTTTTTTTTTTGAGTCAGGGTCTCACTCTGTTGCCCAGGTTAGAGTGCAGTGGCACAATCAAGACTCACAGCAACCTTGACCTCCTGGGCTTATGTGATCCTTTGGCCTCAGCCTCCAAGCAGCTGGAAACACAAGTACAAATCACCATGCCCGGCTAATTTTTCTGTGGGAACAAGGTCTCGCTATGTTACCTAGGCTGGTCTCATACTCCTGTGCTCAAGCAATCCTCCCATCTCTGCCTCCAAAGTGCTGGGATTACGGGCGTGATCCAATATGCTTGGCCTGATTTGAGTTTTTAATGCTTTGTCAATTTTTATCCAAACCTTTCCCTTTTAAGGAACTGATAACAGATATATTTTTCATTAGGCTTTAAGCAGGAAATATGATACAAAAGTGGGGGATCCCAGATGACACGGTTTTGAAACAAGTGTCAGAGAATCTTAAACTGTGGCATATTTGAAAACTAAAATGCAGAATAATTATGCATTGGTTTTCATTTTTACTTGATTGTAATAAAAATTGCATGAAGCTTTTTTTAAAAAAAGTGTTTATAAACATTTTTCTTATACTGTGCATCAGCCCAGATTATTTCCTACTAAAAATATTTCTTTTTGCATTTCCCCTTTACTTCTTTAGTCACAAGTTTGAAGCCTTGTGTCTTCCTCCTTGGATTTCTTAAAACTTGTTAACACACATGTACATTTTTGTATGAACCATGAGTCACTGTTGAAGCAATTTATAAAGCGCTGAAGGGCAAGTTGGGTGTAGATCAGTCATAATTATTGGCAGCAACATAATGTATCAAAATACACAATATGTAAGTGAAAAATATAAACTCATGTCTAGTTGTTAGCTTGTCATAGAAACCTTGGCTGATACAGTTTAAAGTCAGGCTCTGACTGAAAAATGAGACAAGAAGTTTGCTACATTGTTATGTATTGTGATGAATTCTTTTACTTCATCACTGAACTAATTTTATATTTCTCTAATTGACATAAGTGTTACCTGCCTGGGCTGACTAAAGTTAAAATCGATGGGAGTTGAGGGGGGAGAAGACAAAAGACAGAATTTAAATGTAAAGCAAGACGGATATGATTCATTAAGAGAAAATTTGGAGTAAAATTTTTGTGATAACTTTTATATTTGGTCTACTTGTTAGAATAAAAACAGAGAGAAGAAGTCTTAAAATGGTTGGCATCAATACTTGCAGTATTTGGGCCCTGGTATGGAATGTGAAATTTATTAGATGTGACACTGTAGACCGAATCTATTCCAACAAATTTTTTGAGAATTGAGGCAATTATGCAAATAATTTGGGTACAAATATTTTTACATAAATTAAGTATTTGATGGAACTGCATGTTTTCAAAAAATCAACTATTTCAATCTAGTGCATTGTGTAGACGTAGATTTAAAAGTATAATCATTTTTAAAAATATAATATGCACCAAAAATTTATGTATTATTCCCCCTTTGCTTCCTCATTCCCAATTATAATTTATCCAAAAATGACAAGTAATAGCATTGGAGGCTTTTGTCTTTTTACTTTTTTATTGTTGTGGTTGTGTCAAATTCTTCTGTTATATCAGCAGTGCAAACATACTATTAATATGCTGAATGTTTTAGTTGTATAAGTAGTAACATCTTAAAATTTGAGATTAGATGGTTATTTGGGTCTTTAAATATTTAGATAGAACTTTGAAGAAAACACATGTACATACACACACACACACACACACACACTTATGAGTCAATGCTTGGTTCTTTTTTTTCTGAGTAGATTTTTTTATATTGAACATGTGAGTGTAGAGTGGTCAGATAAAAATTTCCTTATACATTTCACATTAATGTTGCAGACATGGAAGTTCCCTGTTATGAAAACTTATGCCTTGTGACTATACTGTACTTATTGAATGCCTCAGACCTTCCTGCCTCAGCAGAGTTTTAGCCTAAAGTGTACTGAATAAATTTGACAGTTTCTTTGTTTACTCCTCCTCATCCAAATACTTTACTATTAAGGCCTGATGTTAAAGGATTATCCCTTTACAGTCTGAGAAGGCAATATGGGTTGTAGGTGCAAAATATATACTATATGTGAAATATAGTAGGTGTATAGAGAAAAATAACTCCCCGTCAGCAGGGTATATAAGATTGCAGATAACGTCCTCACATCCGAGGTGACACTGTTCAGAACTATTATACTCTACAGTTATCCGATTTAGTGCATGTATCAGATTTTCCTAGTTACTTCATTTATTGCCTTCAAAACTGCAAAGCATTCAGGCATCACTTCCCGTTTATTACTAGTGGGGGGGGGGAAGTATGTTGTCCTTAGAGAGTTATGCCACTGGCAGGTAAAAATGTAAACTTATTTTTTAAAAATAGGATCTCCTTTATTATAATAAACAGATTCAACTGTTAAAGGTCAAGTTCCTTTCTGAGTTACAGAAATAATGTAGCAAATACATTTATAAGTAATCAAAGATTCTATAAATATAGGTACCTGTTTAGATGTAAATGTTAAAACATTCACAAATTATCCTCTCAACTTCTGTGATCTAAAAATCAATAGGGGTCATAA